GTGGATTCCTTCCCACCCATCCTCCTGGAAGGGCAGCCAGGAGCTCTGTTGTGGCCTCAGCAGTGCCAGATGATGTCTGAGGCAGGCCCTGAGCTGGCAGCTGCTCCAGCAGCCCCTGGTGTGCCCGCTGGGCATCCCTGGCATGCTGGCCATGCAAACAGGAATTGGATGTTGTTTGCTAATTAACGGCTGTGCTATGAATTCCTCTGCTCCCGCGTGTTGTGTGATCCACGGTGTGTAAACGACCCTTTGGAGCACTGGCAGACGCTGCACTTCGTGTCCCAAAGAGGAGGAGGCAAAGCCCCAGCATGCAGTATGCTGGGCACCAGGAGCCACCACATTAGGTGGCATTTCAGTCCTGGGTTCCTTGGATCCATTCCAGGCAGGATTTCGAGTTCATTAGCACTTCCCCTGACCTCTGTGTGCTGCTGGAACAGGTGGGCAGCCATCCCCACAGCCTGCAGCTGGCTGGGTGCCAGGCTGTGCCTGCTGCTGGCCCTGGCAGTGCTGCTGGGGGCTCAGAGCAGCTGTGCCCACCGGGCTGGGCTTACTCTGCCCATTCCCACACCTGTCACAGCTCTATGGTGGCAGTCTGCCCTGAGGAATGCTGCCCAGAGGGTCTGTGTGTGCCCAGGAGGCACCAGGGCTGTTGGGCTGTCACCAGGAGCGGGTGGCTCCTCTGGAAGCGCTGGAGATCCTCTAGTGGGTCTCACAGAGCCCTGTGAGTGCTGGAGCTGGAGAGTGCCCCAGCTGTCCCTGCACCCTGCCTGTGCGTGGGCTCGGTCCCAGCAGCTCAGGGAGCCTCCTCTGTGCAGGGATGGCTGTTCTGCAGCTGCCAGGGCTGGGGCTGGCATGAGCCTGGCATCCCTGGGGAGGGAGCTGCAATGGAATGGGGGTCTGTGTTCTAGAGCTGGGCTGGAATGGAATGGAGGTCTGTGTTCCATGGATGGGCTGGAATGGAATGGAGGTGTGTATTCCAGGGCTGGAATGGAGGTCTGTGTTCTATAGATGGGCTGGAATGGAGGTGTGTGTTCCAGGGCTGGAATGGAGGTCTGTGTTCCAGAGCTGGAATGGAGGTGTGCGTTCCAGAGCTGGAATGGAGGTGTGCGTTCCAGAGCTGGAATGGAGGTCTGTGTTCCAGAGCTGGAATGGAGGTGTGTGTTCCAGAGCTGGAATGGAGGTCTGTGTTCTACAGATGGGCTGGAATGGAGGTCTGTGTTCCAGAGCTGGAATGGAGGTGTGTGTTCCAGAGCTGGAATGGAGGTCTGTGTTCCAGAGCTGGAATGGAGGTGTGTGTTCCAGGGCTGGGCTTGAACAGAGCTCTGTGTTTCAGAGCTGGGCTAGAGGTGATGTGAAGGCCAGAAGACCTGTGGGACACACCTGGCAGGGGAAGGACCATGGGAGTGTCACCCACTGTGAGGGGACATCTCACCTGAGAGTAGCCAGGGGAAGGTGGGCAGGGGTGGTAGGGCTGGAGGGGTCCCTGCCTCCATGAGCCCTGGCCCTGCCCAGCACCGTCAGGCCTGCTCCACACCTGAGAAATGGGGGAGGAAAAGTCTTCCTCATCTTCCTCTGCTCAGAGACAGGAGCAGAGCCTGGGGACTCCAGTCTGTCCTCCCCAGCCGATGGGAGAACAGGGGGGCTCCCAGCTCCTGCAGTGTGCTGGGCTCACAGGTTCCTGATGGGGGAACAGGGGGAGCTCCCACAGCATGCTGGGCTCACAGGTTCCTCCATTTGGAGACACAGTTCCCACCCTGTGTGACCATGCAGCCCGCAGCAACTCCAGCTCAGGTTTCGCAGACAGATTAATAACTCAAAGTGATCAAATGTAGCAACAGGATGGATGCAAAGAGCAGTATGTGTGAGAGGCTTTTTTTGTGAATCACAAATGTCACATGAAGAGCTTGCTACCCTTGTCCTGAGCAGTGCCCACCTTCCCAGCAAGCTGGCATTTGTTTTCTTTATGAAGGCAGTTTCCTTTCTTTTTTGTTATCTTTCCAGCAAGTAATGAGGATCACATATTGCTTTCATTAGTCCAAAAGGTGTTTCCTGCAATGAGCTCTCAGCCATGTCAGCGCTGCTAACTCTATAAAATTATCTGTGTGGGGGATGAGGTGTGCTGGGAGAGGAGGGGACACCTGTCCAGGCTGACTTTCAGCAGCTGTGGTTTTTGGTGAGTGTCTCTGGTGGGGCACTGGGCACTCTGGGAGGAAATGCTCTGTGTTTTCTCAGCAAGGAGGTGAAATGTTTCCCTGCAGCCAGGGATCATGCACATGGGGAGGATGGGCTGTCCCCATCCCTGCACAGCCTGGGGCACCAGCTGCCTCATGCAGATCCAGGTGTGCCTTTGCTCTTTCCATCGCTTGGGGCATCCAGGTGCCAAATCCTCGCTGGTCCTTTGCTCTTTCCATCGCTTGGGGCATCCAGGTGCCAAATCCTCGCTGGTCCTCCTGTCAGTCAGGGCTGGGGGTGCTCAGCTCTGGTCACCAGCCCCTCTCCATCAGCACCCCGGGCTCTGAGGGCTCAGTCCCTCCTCCTGTTCAGTGTCATTGCAGATGTGTGTGGGGTGCACTCGCCTCCCTGCCCAGGTCACTGGGAGGGTCACAGGACAGGACTGTCCCTAAACCCAGGGCATGGGTCACAGTGCTGGGGACTGGCCTTTCCATGGGGCTGCTCTTGCCCCATTTACTGCAGCCCTTTGAGCCTGATGTTCACTGATGGCATTGCATCCAGCCCTGGCTATTTAACCTGAGGATATTGGCACAGACAACATCCAAAACTCTTAACATCCAAAAACCCACCTCTGCTGCTAGGTAACTTTGTGGGAACCTTGTCATCCCAGCTGCTGTTTAAGTCATTTCATCTTGCAATGGTATTTCCAAACTCATGAACTTGCAGATTTGGGTTCAGGCCTGTGTTGGGCTTGGGTAGCTGTAGCAATGGACTTGGCTGAATCCAGGCACATGAGTTTAATCATGGCCATGAACTAAACTGGCAGCCTTAGGTTAGCAAATCTAATGAGTGTGGGGTCCCCAGGCAAGGCTGTCCATGGACCCCTGGCTGTGTGCAGGTGCCCTGAGCTGCTGAGCCCATTCCCATTCCCATCCAGTCCCTACCAGATGTGCATGAAAGGAGCAGAGGCCACCTGGAAAGGACAGGTGACAGTCCCTGGCCATGAATGCAGCTGCTGGGCTGGGAGGTGGCTGGTGGGTGACACCAGTGGGTCTGGGGGCTGCAGCAGGCAGTGTCCTTCACTGCTTGGCATTGCCATTCTCCTCCAGGTCCTTGTCACCTGCAGGGCCACCCTGATTTGCAGTGCTGTCACGAAATGAGTGCACAGAGCATAACTGAATGCTGCATGGCACTTTGCTTTCTGCTGCAGGTCATGGCAGTGAGAATGGTGCTGGTTATGGTGGTTTGGGAGCAGCTCCCAGCACTGCCCACGGCAGCACACTCTGCTTTGGACCACAGCAGCAGGCTTTGGTTTCTCCAGTGGGAACTCAAAAGCTGGAGTAGTCCTGAATACTTGCAGTCCCCAGAAGTATCAGGAAAAAGTACATTGATTGTGCTGCAAAGCAGGTTTAGGGCTGGCATTTTCACTAATCATTTTGTTGCCTCTGCTTGCACGGCACCACAGATTTGGTGTGGTTTAAGGATGGACTGGATAACAGGAGCAATTGTTGTTGTTCTGACGTTAAATGTCTTTAAATATCAATGACGATGCAAGAGCTCTGGTTCTGGCTAGCTGTGAAACTGCATTTCAGCTGAGCTTCATTAATGCATCTCTGGGGTGGTAATGGGTCTGAGTAATCTGATCTGAGCACGTATAACTGTGCCAGTCCCAAAGGGAGCTGAGTGCTTCAGTCGCAGCGTGGAGCCCCTCTGAGCCTGAAGCAATGGCACAATTCCCTCAGACACGTGCTGGGTGCTTCTCCAGGGACCCTGCTCCTGCTGTTCCAGGGAGGGGCACCCTGAGCCTCCCACCTGTGCCAGAGAGGGGCACCTTGAGCCTCCCACCTGTGCCAGGGAGGAGCACCCTGAGCCTCCCACCTGTGCCAGGGAGGAGCAACCTGAGCCTCCCACCTGTGCCAGGGAGGAGCACCCTGAGCCTCCCACCTGTTCACCTGCCCTAGCCTCCCATCCCCAGCCTCCCGCCCACGCTGGGAGCCCTTGGCACAGTCCCTGCTGGGTGACCTCGCTGAGCTGTGTGGGCACTGCTGCTGGCAGCCCTGCTCCCACTCACCACGAGGAGCGGGCCTGGCAGTGTGAGCAATAAAGCTGATTGAACCGCTGGGCTTTCCAGGGGGAGCCGGAAAGCTGTGATCAGCTAAAATTAGCCCAAGATCCGTTTTTATTTAGATCTCTGTTGTGGGGGCTTTTCTTGGGTTTTTGTTTTGCTTTGTTTTGTTTTTTGGGTGTTTTTTTTTTGTTTCATTTTGTTTTATTTGCATTTTTGGGGTTTGAATGACATAAAATCAGCTCCTTCTGAGTTTATTCTGAAAATAGCATTAAGAGCTTAAATGTTCAGTGGAGTTGGCTGTAAACCCATTGAGCTGCTGCGATTTCAAGGCCACTGAGAGTTTCAGCTTAGCAAGTGAAGCACACATGAGCCACTCCTCATTTTGTGTACCGGGACATTTGTCACTATGGCCAGCAGCCTGGGAGGGCAGGGGCTCTGCTGGGATGTGGAGCTGTGCTGGGCAGCAGGATGGGCTCGAGCAGGAGGGGCTCGAGGGGCAGCTTCCCAATGGCTTTGTCATTTGTATGAATGTCAGTGTGTACCCATGGAGCTGCAAACGTCCCTGACTCTCAGCTGCACTCCTGGCAGGCACTCCTGTGTCGGGATGGGGGGATGGAGAAGGACCAGGTAACACAGGGAGGGTGGCTGGTTGCCACCTGAACTTCAGTTCCATGGTTCAACCTCAGATTGTCTGTCTTGGCTCTTTTATTATGCCTGTCTTAACTCACAGAGACTAACTGCTGTCTGCTCTCCCTTGCAGGCTCTTGAATCTGTTCTACAATGGAAAAACTGCTTTTGTTTCTGCTGTTCATTGGCGTAGCGGTGCGAGCTCAGATCTGCCCCAAGCGCTGCGTCTGTCAGATCTTGTCTCCCAACCTCGCCACCCTGTGTGCCAAGAAAGGGCTCTTGTTTGTTCCTCCCAACATTGACAGGAGGACCGTGGAGCTGCGGCTGGCAGACAACTTTGTTACAAACATTAAAAGGAAAGACTTTGCCAACATGACCAGCCTGGTGGACCTGACGCTGTCCCGGAATACAATCAGTTTTATCACACCTCACGCGTTTGCCGACCTGCGCAATTTGCGGGCTCTGCATTTGAACAGCAACCGATTGACTAAGATCACTAATGACATGTTCAGTGGGCTCTCCAATCTCCACCACTTGATACTGAACAACAACCAGCTGACTTTAATTTCTTCCACAGCTTTTGACGATGTTTTAGCTCTCGAGGAATTGGATTTGTCTTACAACAATCTGGAAACCATCCCTTGGGATGCCGTGGAGAAAATGGTCAGTTTGCACACTCTCAGTCTTGACCACAACATGATTGACCATATTCCTAAGGGGACCTTCTCCCACCTGCACAAGATGACCAGGCTGGACGTCACGTCTAACAAACTGCAGAAGCTGCCGCCTGACCCGCTGTTCCAGCGCGCTCAGGTGCTGGCAACCTCAGGAATTATCAGCCCCTCGACGTTCGCGCTGAGCTTTGGTGGGAACCCCTTGCATTGCAACTGTGAGCTCTTGTGGCTGAGGCGCCTTTCCAGGGAGGACGACCTGGAGACCTGTGCCTCCCCGACGCTGCTGTCGGGCCGGTACTTCTGGTCCATCCCCGAGGAGGAGTTCCTGTGCGAGCCGCCGCTCATCACGCGGCACACGCACGAGCTGCGCGTGCTGGAGGGGCAGCGCGCGGCCCTGCGCTGCAAGGCCCGCGGCGACCCCGAGCCGGCCATCCACTGGATCTCGCCCGAGGGCAAGCTGATCTCCAACGCCACCAGGTCCACGGTCTACGACAACGGCACGCTCGACATCCTCATCACCACGGTGAAGGACACGGGCTCCTTCACCTGCATCGCCTCCAACCCCGCGGGGGAGGCCACGCAGACCGTGGACCTGCACATCATCAAACTGCCCCACCTGCTCAACAGCACAAACCACATCCACGAGCCTGACCCGGGCTCCTCGGATATCTCCACATCCACCAAGTCGGGCTCCAACGCCAGCAGTAGCAACGGGGATACTAAAGTCAGCCAGGATAAGAAGGTGGTTGTCGCAGAAGCGACGTCCTCCACGGCTCTGCTGAAATTCAATTTCCAGAGGAATATACCTGGGATCCGTATGTTCCAAATCCAGTACAATGGTACTTATGATGACTCCCTTGTTTACAGGTAAGGCAGCCCCAGCCTGCCCGGGTGGGACCGTGCTGGGTGTGTGGTGCTGCCGTGTGGCCCTGGCCCGGGCACCCCTGTGCTGCAGTTCCTGTGCCATGCCGTGCCAGCTGAGCACAGCCCAGCCCCAGCAGCTCGTGGTGGGAGCCTCAGGGAGGACTCATGCCATTTCTACTCACAAGCAGGAAAATTACTTAGAACAGTGCTATTTTTAGGTAATCCAAGTGGACTTCTAATCCTCTGAACTGATCTGAGAAAGGTTGTGAAGGTAGATGGATTAAATGGTGCCTAATGTGCTCAGCTTTGTGGAAGCACAGGAAAGACAGTGTCTGTGAGCATGTTCCTCACAGCACTTTCTGGTGATGCCCGTGCTGGGGAAGTGCAGGGGGGCTCTGTGCTGCCAGGTGTAGCTGTTGCACCCTTCAGCACTGGCTTTGCTCGGTCATTTCTTCTGTGCATTTCTTTATCCATTACTAGGACAAGGGGTGCTGGCTTTAAATGGAAAGAGGGTAGATGTAGATCAGGTAACTGAAAAACATTCTTCCCTGTGAGGACAGTGAGATCCTGGCACAGCTTCAGGGAAGTTATGGGTGCCTCATCCATGGAAGTGTCCAAGGCCAGGCTGGACAGGGCTTGGAGTTGCCTTGTCTGGTGGAAGATGTCCCTGCCCATGGCAGGAGGGTGAACTGGATGGTCTTTACATGTTGCTTCCAACCCAGGCCATTCTGTGATCCTGTGATTCCATGTTTTTGGTGTGGTGGTTCCAATGGGGGGCTGTGCCATGCTGAGCCGTGCCAGGGGCCTTGGCAGTGACTGCTGCTACATGGAAGGCCGGGCAGGAGCTGCTGGGGTTGGAGATGAGCCCCACGGGGACAGTGGACAAGCTGTGGTAGTGCCCAGCACAGCCTGGGCTGCCCCACAGGGTGGGAAGGCACCGCTGTGTCCGCAGGTTCATTCACACTGGCTTCCTTCTCCCCCAGAATGATACCTCCCACGAGCAAAACCTTTCTGGTGAACAACCTGGCCGCGGGGACGATGTACGACCTGTGCGTGCTGGCCATCTACGATGACGGGATCACCTCGCTGACGGCCACCAGGGTGGTGGGCTGCACGCAGTTCACCACCGAGCAGGATTACGTGCGCTGCCACTTCATGCAGTCCCAGTTCCTGGGCGGGACCATGATCATCATCATCGGTGGGATCATTGTGGCGTCCGTGCTCGTGTTCATCATCATCCTCATGATCCGCTACAAGGTGTGTAACAACAACGGGCAGCAGAAGGCCACCAAGGTCAGCAACGTGTACTCTCAGACCAACGGGGCTCAGATCCAGGGCTGCGGCGGGGCGCTGTCGCAGTCCATGTCCAAGCAGGCTCTCGGGCACGAGGAGGGCGTCCAGTGCTGCAAGGCCGCGGCCGACGGCGCCGCGCAGTCGCCGGACGCCGGCTCCGGCCAGGACTCGGCCACCACTACCTCGGCTTTGCCTCCCGCCTGGACTTCCAGCTCTCCCCTGCCGCAGAAGCAGAAGCGCAAGTCGGGGCCCAAGGCCGGCAGCGAGGCGCAGGGCGAGGCGGGCGGCAGCGCCGAGCCCCAGAACTCCAACAGGAACAACTCCACGGCCCTGGCGCTGGCCGGGCGCGGCCCCGAGGCGGCCCCCACGTACAAAAGAGCACAATCCAAGCCAAGTAAGTTCCTGACGCTGCCGGCCGAGGCCAGCCGCGCCAAGCGGCGGCGCTCGCTGGGCGGAGAGCTGCTGGAGCCCCGCGGCCCCGCCGGCCTGCGCTCCAAGCGCAGCATGTCCATGAACGGGATGCTGCTGCAGGCAGACTGCGCCCAGGGCGGAACGGCACCTTTCTCCAGTTCTGAGTGGATATTGGAAAGCACTGTGTGACCTGCTTTTTTTTCTTTTTTCTTTTTTTTTTTTTTTAAAGTTTTATTTTAACTAAAACCACCAAACGTTGTGTGAAACTCCCTTTCCCAGGGAATTGGATTTGGATGTCCACTGCTGTCTCGCTGATTAATGGCTTGTTCATGCGGGGTTCTGTATAAGCCACCCAGTGCACACGGGGGTTTATTTAGTTTTCGTTTGGTTTTATTTAATATCAAAACCGAAGGCAACATTCAGAGATTAAAAAAAAAAAAAAAAAGGAAAAAAAGATTAAGGGGCGAAAAAAAGCACGAAACAGCACCAGTGCCTTCCCTGCTCTAGGACTGGCTTCCTGGTTCTGCGGTAGCAGAAAACAAAAGAGAGAGTTTTCACAGAAAAAGCCTTTTATAAAGGAAATGCAATTTCCTCCAAGCTAACAAATAACCGCTTCTGGATCAATCAGTAAAATGATATTTTTTAAACCGGTCAGACTGTACATTTCTTTTCCGTGACAATGGTGTTGCCTTTGTTTTTAGGCAGATGCTGTACAGGAGCAACAACGCTGTGTTGTTATGTTGTGTAAAATAAAATATTCACTCGGTATGCCAGCCAGCCTCGGGTTACTGCCCTGCCGGGCTGGGCCTCGGTGCTGCTGCAGAGCTCCTGCCACGGCGCACCAGGAGCACCAGGAGGCACCAGGGCACGGGGCCATTCCCTGTGCTGGCTCTGGCTGGCTGGGGCTGGGCTGGGGAGCACTGGGAGCCTGCAGTGGCTCTCCCCGAGAGGAGCCTGAGCTGGGATCCTTCCTGAGAGATGCCTGAGCTGGGATCCCACACTGGCTCTCCCCAAGAGGTGCCTGAGCTGGGATCCCACAGCCTGAGCTGGGATCCCACACTGGCTGTCCCCGAGAGGTGCCTGCCCCACGTCCCAGGGCACCCAGACCTGGTGCAGGCAGTGCCCTGTCCTGCAGCCCTGGGCAGGGAGCTGGGCTGGGGCACCTCGGGGTGCTGGGCACAGCTGAGCAGGGCTGTGAGTAGGGACAGCAGGCAGGCAGGTGGGCAGACAGGTGGGCAGACAGGTGGCCGGGCAGGTGAGTAGGTGGGCAGAAGGGTGAGCATGCAGGTGGGCAGGTGGGCAGGCAGGTGGGCAGGTGAGCAGGCAGGTGGGCGGGCAGGCGGGCGGGCAGGTGGGCAGGCAGGTGGGCGGGCAGGAAGGTGGGCAGGCAGGTGGGCAGGAAGGTGAGCAATCAGGTGGGCAGGCAGGTGAGCAGGTGGGCAGAAGGATGAGCATGCAGGTGGGCAGGTGGGCAGATGTGCAGGCAGGTGGACAGGCAGGTGAGCAGACAGGTGTGCAGGCAGGTGGGCAGGTGAGCAGGTGAGCAGACAGGTGGGCAGGTGGGCAATCAGGTGGGCAGGCAGGTGGACAGGTGAGCAGGTGGGCGGGCAGGTGGGCAGGCAGGGCTGCAGCCAGCAGGATTGTGCCATTCAGCACCTCGGCTGGTCGGGTGTTGATGGCCATCTCCTGCTTTCCTAGACTCCTGGGCCATATTTGCTCAGAACTTTATGGTTTGGTCCAGTTCTCCTCAATCCCTGAGTGCACTGAGGGCCTGGAAGATGATGGTCTCACCTTTGAGCTGTTCCCAATTGCTGTGCCTGTGGCATGGAGTGCTTCTGGGCCACTCTGCAGGGACAGAACCCACAGCAGCAGGGGACAGCAGGTGCAGATTTCGTTGTGTGCATGGCAGCTGCTCTGCTCTCTGTAAAGGGAAGCCTGCAGTTAATATTAATTAAACTCATATGGTCATCATATTCAAATTAGAGACAGCTTAACTCTGAATATCTGAGCACTGTGCATTCTCAGATGCCAAATAACAGGTTCATGATGGGCTTTGTGACCATAAAAGAGAGAGAACAGTTAAATTTTATACCTTGTGCTTGCTCTTGGGGCACAGTCACTCGGGCACGTGCCCGAGGCCAGCCTGGCCCCAGCCAGCCCCAGGGCAGTTTGGGGGCACAGTGGGGCACAGCCCCTGGCACCCCTCTGTGTCCCTGGGGCTCTGCAGTGATGCTCCTGGCCACTGCGGGCTGCTCTGGGTGATTTCATTGCCTGTCACGGAAGGACAAAGTCAATGAGGGTGGTGTAAAGGACCTAAAAGGAAGAGGCTGCTTCTTTTTTAGGAACCCTTTTTGCTTCCCTCAGGAAATGCAGAGACCAAATAGGAAACAAAGCCTCAAAATGAGAAACCCTGCTTCCTGCTGGAAAAGTTTAAAAAAATGCAATAAATCCCTCCTTGGGTTGCTCTGGCGGCCCATGAGCAGTGCATGAACAGAAGGGAGCTGTCAAACACGTGCTGTGGGGGACAGGGGTGCCTGTGCAGGGCCTGCACTCTGATGCCAAGGGCTTTGCCCAGTGTGGGTCAAACGTGAAGGTCTGAGCCCCAGTGAGGGGCTGTGCTGGCAGAGGCACCTTATCCTCCTTCTGGAGTACAGGAGGATGTCACAGGTTTGCTGTGGAGTGGCTGGGTTTGATCATGCATTTTAAAAACACCCAATGAAAATGCTTTTCTATGTTGTCTAAAACTGGACCTAAATCTGTGTGATGTTTTGTCAAAGTGCTAAAATACTAATGGTGTCTTGTGGTTTAAGGAGGTTTATTTTTATATATTTGTAATTTTTCACTCAGAGGAATAGTTTTCTAAGCACTGCAGCTGATGTTCTGTCCATGGTGCCTCTGTGTCAAGCAGTGTGCAGGGACCTCATGGCCCTGTTTGGTTCCTTTCTGCTGGCATGCAGGAAAGGGGATCTGGGCGGCCAGGGGTTCCTCCCGTGCCAGCTACTCCCCTGGCTGACAGGATCATTCATCCCTTGGGAGTGCCCTGGGCATGGAATCACTGTTCCCACTGGAATAACCGTGCAGTGGGACATTGGGTTTATTCAGGCTCAATTCAAAGTGTAGGAAGCCTCATGGAGGAGGGAATTCTCTGTCCTTTCTGTTCTGCAAGAACCATTGCAAACTGTGAGACAGAGAGTGCTGAGATGCCCCTGGGTCAGAATAACTCCAGGTTATTTCCCCCAGGCTGCAATAACTGCTCAGCAGAGGTGATGGGATGGGGGATGTGCTGTGACCCAGCACCACCCCAGCCATGGAGGGCTGTGCAGGGGCTGAGCCCAGGGTGCCTCCCTGCCCTGGGGCATGGCCTGCCCAGTGGGGCTCTGTGTGCTGCTGCTCAGCCATGGATTATCGGGATTTTAGCCATGACAGGGTCTCTGTTCACAGGCCTCACCTGGGCTCTGTGTGCTGCTGCCCAGCCATGGATTATCAGGATTTTAGCCATGACAGGGTCTCTGTTCACAGGCCCTGGCGGAGGAGGAACTGCTGCAGGAAGTTCTGAGCTCTGTCTGCAGTGGCTGGAGCACAGCGTGTGCCCAGGCCCTCTCTGGAGGTGGGCTCTGCTGGGGCTGTGCTGGGCTGGGCTCTGGGAGTGCCCCAGACCAGCACAGGGTACTCCTGGCTCCAGGGACCAGGACAGCCCTGCTAGCATTGCTCTGGGAGTGCCCCAGACCAGCAGTGGCACGGAGCTGTGGTCCGTGGGCAGGCCTGGGCAGCTGTGTGTGCCCTCCAGAAGGGGCAGCAGGCCCTTGTGCCATGGCAGAGCGTGCCCGAAGCCATGGTGGGCACGAGCACAGAGAGGGGCATGCTGCTGCCTTGGGAGTGGCTTCAAACCAGGGATAAAGGCTGCAGCTGGCACCAGGGTCACCTCTCTGCCCATCAGCCATAAGGGCAGTGCCTGAGCCGCGCTGGAGCTCTGGGGCACTGGAGCCTGAGCAGTGCCACTCACACGTGGGCACAGCTGTCTGTCAGCCCTGTGGTCGCTGAGGAATGTTCACCTCCCTGCTCCTGGTGCTGCTGCCCCTCAGGGGCACCATCACCGCCCAAGAGCTGCACCAGCAGCAGACCCCAGTTGCACAGTGCCTTCTCCTGGCAGTGATGCTAATGTTGGTCAGAGTTCTGGTTTAACAGTACCAAACTGGCCAGTCCTTAGGCTCTTGCTCACCAAAAACGTGGTTCTGCTGTTTGCCCTTTGCAAATGTGTCCTGGCTGTGTGCTGGGCCCAGGCCAAAGCCTGGGCTGCCCAACCCCGCTGTGCTGGATTGCTGTGCCACCCCAGGTGGCTCAGAGCTGCACTTTAGCAGTGTCTGGGTCAGGAATATGAGGGCTGAGCCCAGGCTGGTGTGCCTGGCTTGGTGCAGGCTGGTTTTGCTCCTGCAGCGCCAGGCTGCTGCTCTGGTGCTGTGTGCAAGCTGTGCCACCTCCTCTGCAGGGAAATTCCCCTGGGAGAGAGGAAATCCAGGCAGGGTTGGAGCCCAGCCCCTCAATGGGCACACAGGGACCCCACCTGGCCTGAGGCCAGTCTGTGCTGTGGGGGCTTGTTTTCTTATGTATCACAACGGTTCTATCATCATTATATGTTGTCTTGTACCTCAAGAGTTCTATTATCATTGTAGTGCAAGGGTTCCATGTCCTCAGAGTCTCATACCTCCTCAATGTTTGTCACAGGCAGCTCCTCTAAGCACTCACTGTTCCTGGTCCTTACAGCAACCCTCTGACTCCAGATCCCACCAATCCACTCTTTTATACCACTGTTCTTATTGGCTACAGGCGCTGCTTGTTATCATCTAGCCTGCTCCCAATACTTAGTAATAGGGTCCAGCTGCAGCTCGTTGGGGGATAAGATTGCAATCTGCATTACCTTCATTTACCCATACTGTGTGCCCTGCAGGGGCTGTGACCCACAGCACCCACAGAGGAGTTTGGGTGGTGCCTGGTTGGTGTTGGCACATGGCAGTGGCACACCTGCCCTCCCCCAGGTAAGTGGGGCTGTGCTGGGTGCCAGGAGGTGGCACAGCTGTCCCATGGGCTGTCCCTGTGCCCTGGGCAGGACAGTGGCACATGGCACACCCTGGTTGCAGTGACCTCAGGAAGGTGGGTGCTGTGTCTGTGCCCCCCTTTGCTCTGCCCTGGTGTCCCCAGCTCTGTGTGACCCCCTGGCAGTGTGCAGAGCTGGGGTCCCTGCCCTGGACAAAGGCTTGGCCTGTGCAAGGGCAGCAGCAAATCTAGAAAGTGGAGAACTCTCTGGTTCTGGAACAATGAGCTTTGCTGGTTCTGCTGGGTGTTCTGGTGTTGTCTTGCAGGATTTTCCCTGAAGCAGAAGCAGCAGCAGTGCTGTGCTTGGTGACACTTGTGGCAGAGGTGTGGGTGGGGACATTGGGTCCTGTTAGCCCTGTCCCC